TAAATTAGATGGGTAGATTATAGGATTGCTCTGGCAATCTTTACTTCGAAATTTTATTTAGGATTTCAAAACTGTAGCTTTTGACTTTGGGATAGCTGGAAGATTTAACAAAATCGTAATTTGTACAGCTCAAAAAAATAAATTAGCTGCTTTTGTTCTGATTTCAGTTCATTACTTTTCCCTGTCTGGTAAAGCAATAGCTTTGTCTTTAGCAGCCAGAATTGGTGCAGAAGTAACAGTTGTATGTGTATGTACGAGTTGTTCCTCCTCTGGACAACAGGTTTTATTGTGCCTTATTTTAACACACATTCCTGTCTGAAGATTGATGGAGTTGTCTTTTTGTGTAAAGATATTACAGAACTATTGCTTATCATTATTAGATGTATAATTTCATTTATGTTAACAGCACTGAGCTCCTTTCATTTTCGTGAATGAACAGTGGGGGGGGAGAGAGAGAGAGAGGAACATTGGAAATTACAACACTTTGTCATTCATTTTAGATTTTAATGTCTTGACAACATGACTTGATTGTAAAGTAGAAGACAGTAATTTTAAGAGAGCAAATGCTTTTAAGACTAGATAGTCTGATTTTATTGAGGATAATTACTGTTTGTTATTAGAAAAGTAACTTACTACCTTATAAGCTTAGATAACTGGTATGCTTGAAAAACCCAATAGCTGTGCCTTTAATGAAGTTATATATAAAAATGAAGTTGCATATCTTACTGAAATCTTAAGGTAGTCATGCACTGGGAAGGAAGAAAACTGCTGTGTTAATGCCAAAGAGAAAGTGCACACAATCGTTTGTTTGTAAAACTAATGAATTAATCAGATCAAGGAGCTACCACAATTAATTATTTCCCCCCCCAAATTTCATGGACCCTGGATAGGTAATTGAAGTCCACGATCTTGAAAAATTTGAAAGACTTGTACTAGATAATTGCTTTGGGTATAGAAATTTTTTTAAAAAAACATCATTATAGTAACTGCTATGGACTATACTTTTCTTTTGCCTGACTTGACTTTATAGGAGCTACTTTTTTCCAACAGATCTTCATTCCCTGTGTTGACACATATTACTAAAATAAAAAAGCTTAAATTGGAACTGAGAAATAAGCTCACTTATAAATTAACTATTAGAAAGTAATTTTCATTCAAATCTGTTTGACTACTGAATAGCAAATTTTAAATGTGCCTAGTTTTAGTGAAAATTGTTGGAAATAGCCACTGAGGGAAGGCCTTGACAGATTTTCTGTTCCTGACATGGTGTTGACATGATGGATTCAGACTATCGTTTACACTCCAGTCTTGTGGTTTTGGCCTAATTTTTCCTGCCTGTTAAATGAGCTATTAGAAAAGTTCTTAACAGCTGAATGATACCAGACTGTAACATTCCTCTGAGCTTTATGCTGAGAGTGACAGAATAGTTAAATGGCAACGAGAAGTGCTCTCAATAGCCTTACCAGGTGCTAAACATTAATAGTGACCAAATAAGACAGGCCTAGTGTTTTATAATTAGCATGCAAGGTAAATCTAAAAATATTTGCTGTGGTTTGAATCAGAGAAGACAACAATTAGCAATGACTTATGTTCCTTGTCAGCATAAGTAGTTAAACACATTTTGGAAAAGAGTGGCTTTTTTTTTTTGCTGCATGGAAGGTTTTTAAGTGTTTTAATCAATTTTAAGTTTGCCATAACAACAATTTGCCTTTGGCTGACCAGTAATTGCAATAACATAGAAGTTGTAAATCGTGTCAGATCAAAATATGTCTGAAGTTCATATCTATTGGTCTAAATGAATTCATCAAATCAATATTAACTTAAAGAAAGTAACCTCCCTGTTCACCTTCACAGCATATGAAAAGAGACAGATGCTCCTGGAAGGACTATTCTGGGCAAATGCTTAATTTTTAGGTGCTTTGTTGACTAGAGAAAGAGCTGAAAAATATATATTTTAAATTAGACTTGACCTATTAAAAAAAAACACAGCACTTTAAAGAAAAGGCACTCAAGGTGATAAACACTGAAAGATAGGCTGCTCTTTAGAATCATTCTATGATTCTATAATTCTATGATTTTGAAGAGTACTGCTTCTTAAAATTGTCTTACATAGAGGGAGAATATACATTTTTATACTTTTTTTCCTGTAATAGCTGTGTATAATCATGCTTAGAATAATAATAAAAAAAATCTTCATCACTGCTCCCCAGGTTCCTAAAGAAATAAAAAATGGGGAGGGGGGGCGTTGGGAATGAAATAATAGTCTAACAAGCTTTTGGAAAGACAGGTAATCGTTTTCCTTTCTGATGTGTAGGTGAGCCAAGATGGAAAGTCACTGCTTGACAAACTTCAGAGACCTTTGACTCCTGGGAGTTCTGATTCCCTCACTGCTTCTGCCAACTACTCAAAAGCAGTTCATCACGTTCTGGATGTCATCCATGAAGTACTGCACCACCAGCGCCAGCTGGAAAATATTTGGCAGCATCGAAAGGTCCGCTTGCACCAACGGCTTCAGCTCTGCGTTTTTCAACAGGATGTTCAACAGGTAGGTTTTATTTTGTGTTGTCTGAATGCTGTTCTACTCCGTCAGCCTTTGACTTGATGTTGGTTGCATGGGACTAAATGATTTATTCCAAATTTTGTGTAGTATCAGAGGATATTGGCTGTTATGGGAAGAATTTATATTTATAATTAATATTTTATAATTAATATAATTTATAATTATGTATATTTATAAGTTAGGTCTCCTTTAGTTTTATTTTTTTCTAAATCACCTTCTTTACTCGCTTTAAGTCAGATAAAATGAAAAATATTTTTATTCTAGACAGCTATTCTGAGCTATGTTGTTGAGGAAGTTGACATGCTCATTCTAGGTAAAAATCTGGACTTGAAGTGTCAGAAAGACTTGTTAGGAGTAACATGCAAAAAATAACCAGCATTATTCTGTAAAAAACTTTTAGTGTAAAATCCTCAGTGATACTTAATTGACTTAATTTGGTTTCTTTAAAACCTGAGAGTGGTGTACTAAAGAGGTATAAAAATTACAGGTAACATTACTTCCTGACAATGACAGTGTTCTTGAATTAATGGTTAGTAGCTGCATATTTTTGTGATTATGATATCCATAAAATTTATAGTTAAGTACAGCCATTAATATGTCTGACATGCTTTTAGCTTAAAAAGGTAAAGCTGTTAAGAATTTGTGTGTTGATAGAACCTTTTCATAAACAAAAAATTTTCACCTTAAGCTGCAATTGACTGAGAATAAGTATTTTATCCATCAGTAGCTCTTCTTCAGAATAGTAAAGATGACCACTATTTTCTGATTATGTTCTTTCATTTAGTTGTAAAAGTGTTAAAAAATAATGAACTTCCAGTTGGGATTTTTGGGTAGCCAGCCATACCTTCTGATTAAACTGATCTTTTTTTCTTCCAAATCAGTTGCACTTTACTCCAAATGTCTTGCACTCTGGTGTTTCAAAGAAGATGCTGGATGTGAGCAGTTTAGAGTGATATAGCCTGGTTTCCATCATTTAGAGTAGTTGACAAAAATTTCAGCAGGCAGTGGGAAGATCAGCAATTTTGGTAGCTCAGGTTTCTTCTGTAAGCAGTGCCCATTCAGTACTGAGGTACTCAATGACTACTTTGCCTCAGTCTTCATCGGCAAAGGCTCTGGTCACACCATCCAAGTTAGAGAAGGAAAAGGCATGGACTGAGAAAAGAAGATCTTCCCAGTGTAGGAGAAGAGCAGATTTGTGACCTTCTGAAGGACGTAAAGGTACACAAGTCCATGGCACATGACTGGATTCATCCATGGCTCCTGAAGGAACCAGGTGATGAAGTTGCAATGCCACTGTCCATCATATTTGAAAAGTCTTGGCAGTCTGGAGAAATTCCCACTGACTGGAAAAGGGAAAACGTAACCCTCACAAATACAGGCTGAGTAGAGAATGGATCGAAAACAGCCCAGAGGAGAAGGACTTGGGAGTGATGACGAGAAGCTCAACAGGAGCTGAAAATGTCTGCTTGCAGCCTAGAAAGCCAACCATGTCCTGGGCTGCATCAAAAGAAGCGTGGCCAACAGGTCAGGGGAGGTGATTCTGCCCATCTACTCTGCACTCAGGAGACCCCACCTGGAGTATTGTATCTGGTTCTGGAGCCCCCAACATAAGAAGGACATGGAGCTCATGGAGAAAGTCCAGAGGAGGACTATGAAGAGGATCAGAGGGCTGGAGCACCTCTCCTTTGAAGACAGGCTGGGAGATTGGAGTTGTTAAGCCTGGGGAAGAGAAGGCTCTGGGGGGTACCTCATAGTGGACTCCCATATCTGAAGGGCCCTACAGGAAAGCTGGGGAGGGACTTTTGTCAAGGGTTTGCAGGGAAAGGACAAGGGGTTATGGATGAAAACTGAAAGAGGGGAGGTGTAAGTTAGGCATTAGGAGGAAATTCTGTAGTGTGAGAGTGGTGAGACACTGGAACTGGTTGCCCAATGAAGTTGTGGAAGCTCCATCCCTGGAAGTGTTCAAGTGTAGGTTGGATGTGGCTCTGAGCAACCTGATCTGGTGGGAGGTGTCCCTGCTCATGCAGGGGAGTTGGAACTAGATGATCTTGAAGGTCAAACTATTCTATGATTTTATTATTCTCTTCCTGTAAAGCTTAAAAATACTTAAACACTAAGTGTTTAAATGTAAAAAGTATTAAAACTTTGTTACTTAATTTTTGATGTAAGAAGAGGAAAATATTAAAAGGTAGGCAGTTATCCAACTTACCAACAATCAGATATGATGAAGGATGCAGAAAGGAATGAAAAATGTTAGCTGACAAGGTAAAAGAAAACAGAGTCAATATTATGAATGGTCTGGAAAGGCATAGAGAACCAAACTGAAAATACTTCTATGCCATTGTATAAATCCTAGAGGCTCTTCATCAAGGTTACTATATTAATAGTAGCTAGTTAGGAGAGTCCAGTGCTGAATACTCATTGAAGGGCACTTGTCAAAACTGATAAGGCACAGTCCACAAATGAATCACCTCTTAACTTAAAAAGCTTCATAACGAACCTTCTGAAACTGAAAATTAATATGGTGTTTGCTTCTCATAGGGAAAAATGTAGGTCCTCCCAGTGGGTGGTCTAGTACCAACAAATGGATCCTGGAACTTCCTCCTCTAAGTTTGAATTCAGTGCAAGTAGGCCCTACTTAGGCAACCTAGGCCAAGGGATCTCCTGAGGTTACTTACCAGATACATAATTTGGGTTTCACACTTGTAGGCTAGGCTGCAGGCAGGTTTTTTCCTGGAGCAAGGTGTTCATTAAATGCTACAGAGAGCCCTATTGTGTTGTTCTTTTATTATCTTGGGAGTCATAAAATGTTTGTAAGAAAGTCTCATTTTCTGCTTCTTCCTGAGTCCTGGCTCTCAGAGTGGAGGCATTAGCTTTGAGACTGCTTTGTTCTTTGAAGATGGCAAATAATCAGTTAGATTCTAGTCATTGTAGAGTCACCACCAGGTTCTTCAGCAATTAGCTGGATGTTTCTTCTCTGTATGAGACCTGTCAGCCCCTGGAACTGGTGCCTTTAACATGAAATAGTTACAGGTTTTAAAACAAAAAAGTAGCTAGCTTTACTTATTTTTATAACTTCCAGTGTCAAGAATGTGTTATCCAAATTACATGTGTGGATTGTGAGTATACCAGAAGTTTTCAGTATGAACCAATTGGTTCAGGAGGGTTAATCCATTTAGGCTCATTATTCAGTACGTGCCTTATCTGCTGGTTGAAGAAATTTCTTTCTTCCTGTTATGCCTCTGGTTTCTCTATATGCTTTGCAGTGCAGATCTTGTATTAAGATACCAAGATATCCTCTAAACAATCTGAAACGTCTGGTGCTAATGCACATCTTCATCACCCACTTCAAATTTCAAACTAGATCTTATGTACCAGATGCAGCCCCTGCTTGCCATTTTCCTAAGTCCTTCCCTTAATATCCCATAGTTATCAGAGGATGGATTGTCCTTTGGTTTATCCCTGTAATGGCCATTAACATCCATGTCGGAGGCTTCTGAATTGTTGGATGTGGAAGTACAGCTTTTAGTTCTGTTACTTTACCAACTTTAAGATATTGGTGTATTTTGGGCATTGCCTTGTGAATCACAATGTGAACTGTGGTTAATACTGCCTTTTGTAATGCAGCTTTACATACTTTCATTTCTATGCAGATCATGCTGTAAGACAAGGATAATTCAACATCCATACCAGACAAATTGATGTAATAGTAACCAGAAGCAGATGCCTTAAAGATAACAGCAAGCACATAATGGTGTTTCCCTGCAGTAGCCTTGCTTTGGCAGATTGTAGTGCTCTCAGCTTTGAAAATCCATCAGGGAAAAAAGTGATCTTGAATAATGATGATTCTTTTCTCTTGCAAAACAAAACCAAAATGACCTTATCAGATCATCTAATTTATCTGAAAAATGTTAGCTCTTTAATTAAATAATCATTGACACCATTCACTGCATGAAATTACTGGGGTTTGAGGTATTGGTTGAATTTATGTCCAAGACTGTTCTGAAATGATTTATGTAGAACTCCAAAGCAGTTTTCTAAAATACTTTAGTTTTCATTTGCACGTTCTCTTGGACTTTTGTCCAACATTAGTCAATTATATTAATATTTTACCTAGCATGATTCAGAAACTAGCATGAAAAGCTTTTTCAATTATTGTCAGTTACTTATTTTTTTTAATGTCAAAGTAAACTGAGTGTGGCTTTTTTCCACTGTTCATAGTTAAATTGCAGAGTGGCAAGCAACCAAATGCATTCTAAGTGAATCTAGAACTGTCATCTGTGATTTTCTCCTCTTCCCTCCGCTGGCCTAGTTTTCTGATGGATTAATGAAATAAGAAAATTAATGGAAGTATTAAGTGAGCAACAGAGCTGAGCTGGAGGAGGGAATTGGGCTGTGTTGAGCTGGTACTTCATTTTGTGTTACTTCCATCTTAGAAAATTGGTTGGTTGGTGTGGGTTTGTTGAGTTGTTTTGTTTGGGTTTTTTTCTGTGTTCTGTGTTATTTGGAAAGTGTTTCTAGTGGAGCTTTCCAAATCAACAAAAGTACTGTGGTGCTAGCAATGTACACCAAGAACCATCTGCTAATTTCATGGGAGTAAGTAGTAAGGAAAGTAGCACATGAGAGATAAGTAGATAAGATATGAATTACAGCAAATCTGTAATTTGAAATGTCAAAAACTAAACAGAATTCTCAGTTTTACCTTAGATAGCAGATACATGACAGCAGATCTGGTTCTTTGTTAGTCTGAATATTAATGGCAAAAAAAGGGAGTGTTTGGGTTTTTTTAAAATTTATTTATTTACAAGTGAGATAATTGGCTGTTGCACTCACTTACTGAAAAGAATCCCTCTAGTGTAAAACTTGCTAATAAAAGCATTCTTTTATGTATAAGAATTAATGAGCTTACCAGGTGGATAATGTACACCAGGCTTTCACCTAAGGAAAGGAGCTGGCTTTGACAGTTCTGGTACAAAGTAGTTATGCAGAGTTGTAATAGCAATGTGGAGAGTTGTACTACTAAGCTATGAAAGGTGAAAACTGAACATAAAGATATTGTTTCTGGTAGAGCAATACTGCTGACACTCCAAGGGTTAAAGTTTTTGGGCCAGAAAAACAGTCCTGAAGGCTTGCAAGCTAGAGATAAGGAAAACATACTTGTAGTAGCTTTGTTTGGGTGTTTTGTTTTGGGTTGTTTTTCTCTTTTCAAAACATGTATTTGTTAGGTCCTTGCTGACCTTAGGTGTCTTCTCTGTCCTTTCTGGATTAAAGTGTTCCTTCTCCTTCCATGATCTGCCTGTCTCAAAGACTCTGTCTGGGTTTTTGTTGTAACGGTCACATGTTTCAGCCTTAACTAATGAAGGGCGGGCTAAGAATGCTTACTACTTGCTCAGCATCAAATTAATACTGATGTCACTGCGTGATCCCCTTGTGGCTTTTGGAGGTGGTTCCAGTGTGAAATTATTCTTTTACACAGAGTTTCCACACTTTTAACTATCTGAAGATTAGAAAGGCAGAGATTCCCATCTTTTGAATGTAATGGCAGTACCAAGTAAGTGAGAGTGTGCAAAGTAGCTAAGGGGGGAGGAGGGTAAGGACTGGGTAATGATGTGGGGAAGACTGATAAAAATGAGAATGTGGAGTTTGCAAAATATCAGATTGTTTATTTCTGCAAACAGCATATACAAACCACATATTCTACAGCCATGAGGAATGAATTTGTCAAGATGAAGCCATGTTTCCATAGAAGTTTTTTCTATCAAATATTCTGTACTGGTGTTTTAAGAATAAGCTTTTTTTTTTTTCTTTTTTTATCTTTGGGCATAAGGATGGTTCTGCTGAGACTGCAGTTAGAGCTTAATTGCATCATTAAAGCAACTTGCTGCAGTGGAGGATTATCAATACTGAAAAGTATTGAGCCTCTTAAATTCCTATGCATTACTGAACTACTGGAGTGATTTCCATGTGTTTTCAGTATTAGTAGACAAGTCCTTAGTGTATTGTTACAATGATTTCTGTAACTCTTACCTTGCCAGGGAGAGAAAGAAAATCTGTAATTTTAGATTGTGAAATGGCTAATCGCAATGGTTAATAGCAGTGACAGCTAATGGTATTGTTCTGTGGTCGAAGTGGCATGTAAAAGCTTTCACTGGCAGGCAAGAGTATACCTGGACTCTGCCTTTACTTGCTGTGAAATTCCCAAATAGAGAGTGCTTCCTCCGTTTTGTTAAGAATCAAAGAAAGAAAGCTGAGCACTAGTAAGACTTGTATTCAAACTGATTTTGCTTAGAGGCAGCAATGTTTCACTAGTTAACTGGCTTATGTCATGATCTGTGTACTGGATTTCTATGACAATTTCTTCTCTTGAGAAGTTACTGAGCAGTATTTGGAGCAAAAATCATTCTCCCTGAGCTGCTTTCTGCTTTTCATCCTGTGCTTTCTGGGACACATTTTCCTGTTGATTTAATTTGTTAGCCTATAACTGTTAGTAGTCTCCAGAGCCCAGTCTAATTCTCTCATCCAAACATTTCTCTTTTTAGCTCTTTTTATAATGAGAAAAGCAGAGTAGTCTCCTGAAACTAGTCAAAAGCATGGTAATATAAATTGTACAGTTAACTGAGGCCTGTTTGGCTCCTCACTCTGCCTTCTCTGATCAATACTTTCCCTTGAAAGAAGCAAACAAAAACATAATTTACTTAAAACACAATAATTTTCTTTTAGCAATACTTAGTAGGAAAAACAAATATTACCTATGTGTTGGAGACTTGAGCTGGCTGTGTTATATGGCATTATGGGGTTGTTTGTTATTTTGAAGGTGTCCAGTAGGAGAGAATCTGCAAACCAAAAAAAGGTTCTAACAGTCAAAATAAGTGAAAGAATCACACCAGATGGTTTCATTATGTCTACTAAAGAAAGCATGGATGTTTCGTATGGGAATAGTCTGTGGGATTACATGTGTATTGAATGTAGCCATGAGTGATGCTGCAGGAATGGTTCTGAAGTCTACTTGGAGACAAAACAAAACAAAGAGTTGGTGTTCCCTTTTTCTTTCACCCCCTTCTCCACCCCTGCTTTGTCAGATGCTTTCAGTACAGGAAAAGGGGAAAAAAACCTCGCCTAACTTCAGGAATCAAAGTTAAGGACTCTAGTAGATAAGGAAATCTAAGGTACCAGTTTCTGACAGGTATATTCAAAACAAAATATGCAGGTTTTGAAGAAAAAACAATGCTGGAGATAAATGTTAGGTAAAGTATACCACACCACTACATAAATACTGTATAAAAATGGTTAGCTAAAAAAAGAAAATTGCTTATATACAATTATCTTAAATACTGAACAGCATTCTTGAACCTCAGAGTAACTTCCAAATCATTACATACTGTATGCATGCTAGCTGATGAATGAATGAAGATATGGCCAAGATGTATTATTTTGGAGAGAGACCAGATGTTTTTGTTCAATTACGCATCAGAAATTTGGTATGTGAGCAGTAATCCTTTGTGTTAACTGGCAGGAACTAATTACATGTACATTTTTTACTATTTATAAAGCTGTCAGCCCAGTCATTGTGGTAGAAACATTAATGTCCTTAAAATGTGCTTAGCTCCTCACTTTTTCAGCTATAAAATTTACAATACACAATTATGTCTATCTGATGGTTTGAGGAGATATTTCTTCACACTTAGGGCTACATGTTTCTTATGTTCTAAATGCAGACATTGTCATTAATCTCCTAATGCTTTCAACTTAGTTTTACTGTGTTAAATGATTAGTACTGAATCTTTCTTACTGACTTAATAATGCGTAGTAGAAGTGACTTCTCATCTGGAAGAAAACTTCACTAGGTTATTCACCAGCATTGTTGGAGAATGTGCAAACTCCATTAGTGTTACATTACAGAAAAATGTCAGCTGAAGGCATAAACGAATTACAGAGAGACCCTCACAAGGGATCTAGCTACTTGGATCAGATTACTGTCAAATTGATGAATGTGTAGAAATGAGGTTGTCCTTGGTAGGCTTAAAAATAAACGTATCATCTTAAATCATAAGATTTAGCTAGTTTGAGCTAGTTTTTGCCTTGAGAAGAGTTAATGAGATGTAATTAATGTCCTCCAGTGGCAATACTGTGTTTTAACCCAACAGTACAGTTCCTTATATGCAGTTCCTTTACAGTTTCTTACTTTCTTGGATAGTTGTGTTTTTGTTGCAACATCCAGCACATTCACTCAGGAATTTTTGTGTGTTTCTTCTCTATGACAGGTGTTGGATTGGATTGAAAACCATGGAGAAGCTTTCCTTAGCAAACATACGGGAGTGGGAAAATCTCTACATCGGGCTAGAGCTTTGCAGAAGCGTCATGAAGACTTTGAAGAGGTTGCACAGGTAAAACAATCACATGAAGGACCGTACATTTGTCATGAAAATACATGAAAAATTCCTGTTCTTGCACCAAAGGGCTGGGCAGAGGTAGCTCCACTACAAAAAATTTTATTCTGAGAACAGACTCTTTTGTGTTTCAAGCTTTTATTTAATTTGTCCTTTGCACTCCAGCTTCAATAAGAAAAAGACAAATTTCCACAGTTCTACAGAGAGTGGGAGCCTTGAAGCCCAACAGAACCACTGCTGCCATTATTATTTATTGTTATTTTCAAAAGCATATTGAGTCAAGAATGAAAGCTCTCCTTTTAAAGCAATTTAATTTCTCAGGATTCCAGGATTTTAAGTTTTTGTGCAGCTTGTAGGAGAGAATGGAGATGAACTGAAAGCCCTACTTTCCAGACTTGGAGCTTGGGTAGCTCCAAAATCCTTACAATAGTCTGAGGGGCAGGGGAAGGGCTCCTAAGAAACCAGGTGAGCCAGCAAACTGGCCAACCTGGCTTTGTTTTGTTTCTTTAAATACAATTGAGTCTGTACATGAACTCCTGTTCTGAATCACTGATATCAGTGCACTAGTTTTAGCCCTAAGTGGAACTGATTATATAACTTTAAAGCATACTATTCTGTGAAAAATAGTCAAGCTGAAAGAAATAGAGATACTAGGGAATACAGAGAACATAACAAAAGTTGGTCTGAGCAGTAGGCTCAAAAAGAGGACATAAGGTGTATAAAACCCATGAGAAACTGAAGGCTAGAATCCTTCCCATTAGTAACATGGACTATCTGTCCAGTTGTAAGAATTGTTAAGAGTAAACATCTCTAAGGTTTATCAAGAAAAATTCCTTAAGGTGGGGTTGATTCAGTGGTCCTTCAGTCAAAACAGAGGATGCATTATTAGAAAATGCAGAATTGACATGCAGGTGCTTAGCAGTGACACCTAATATGACAGATACATCAGAGGTGTGTTTACACATTGCCTGTTTAATGTATGATCAAGCTCTTAATAAAATTTTATTGCAAATATGGTCTTAGAACATGCCAATAACTGAGGACTTGAAAGCTTCCTCAATTTTGATTTCCTATAATATTTTCCAAATAAACCATTTTCATTTTATATATATATACATGTTGGATTTACCATATCCATACTTAGTACTTCATTTTAGTAAAATCTGTAATATCTTCCATGTGGAAATACTTCTTTTCCTGGGTCAGACAAGCAAGAATCTATTTCTGTAAGACACTTAACAAAACCTGAATGATCTCATACTTAATACTGTGTTATTTGAGCAAACAAGAAAAAAATGTTTGAGTAACCAAAGGGGATGAAGTATGTAGAACTGTTAGTGGGGTGTAAACTGTTAAAAAAGAATCTTCTTCACTTGCATTATACTTCAGAGTAGAAAGCTGTAAAGCAACTTCTTAGAAAAACTTCCTAGAACTGAATGTAACTAGAATTTAACATGATCTTTTTAGGGGATGGGTGGAATTTCTATTTTTGGAGATGCTGAAAACTTAGACTGGTCAAGGAACTTAAATATACTGCAGGGGACTATCTTCCACTGGCAGAAGGATGGACGGAATGATCTAATAAGTTGTTCTTTTTTTCATCTCTAGCTCTTTAATGTGTAATGACTGCCAAGAGAGGCACACCCTGAGTTGTTCCTCATACTTGCTTTAAAACCAAATGTAAGCAGGCCCCAAAAGGCATGTTTGTTATTGGTGTTACAAGAAAGATTATGTTTAAGTCTGAGACAGCAACCTGCAGTCCTTGTTAAAGCATTGATAACTTTTGGCTGATGTATTCTCTACCTACATTTCTGGTTGTTCCAGGTCTTTGTGTTTTAGTTTGGGGGTTTGTTATTTTTTTGGTTGGTTGCTGTATTTTCTTTGTTTTAATAGAACCTTAGGCATAATCAGGCATTTTCAGTCAGCTTTAATCAGAAGTTGAGAGTTGAAGCAGTATCAAATGAACTGTCAGTGGTGTGGCCAAGTTTTATCAAATTCAGGGAGCCAACAGTAATGTGTTACTGATTGAAGGCTAACTTATGATTTAGAGAAGAAATAAAATTATTTAATTTTTTTTCTTTTCTGCTTCCTCTCTTATTTTTTTTAATGTGAATGAGGTGCCACTTCCTCAGCAACATTTAAAGCAATGTTAAAATAAGCTGTGTGTTGAATAGAAAAGATGTTGCAGAGTCAGTGGGCTCAAAACTCATGTGAAATGAAGGCTTTTTTCTGTTTATTTGGTGCTTTTTGTTACCACTACAGAAACACCAGATAGTGAAAACAGCCAACTAATAATCCTTCCCAAATTCTGACACATAGACATTTGTGCTACACGTACATACTTGGACTTATACCCACCATTTTAAAACTGAGTATTGCTCTTTTAGGTGAAGTCTGTTCAGTTCACTTTCTATTTCTTTTTTTTTTATTTTATTTTTTTCCCTTGTGTTCCCCTCTCCCCATATTCATCCTTATATCCACGAGACCATTTATTAGAAGTGTCAAGACTCCAACTTTGGATAGAACTGATTGATTTATGGGCACAGATTTTCAGCTTAGAAGCACTGGATGCAGATTATTAGTATGGTTGTACTTCCCTATGCATTTTTGTATGAAAATCTAAGCCATCTTAGATTTCAACTATGATCAATGTTTGCTTTTTCACAATAGTCTGTGGTCAAAAAACATGACATTGTATGCCAAAAATTACTTAGTCCAGTCTTCTTCCACAGATAAGGTTTTTTCCTCATCTGCAGACTGCATTTCAGAACTCAAGTCTGCTTGGTGTGAGAGATGCACAAGAAAGATTTTTTTTTTTTTTCCAAACTTTGTTTGAATACACCTGTCATTTCCCTGCTACCACCAGTTACCACCTCCTTTAAGGCTGTAAAAGGAGTTTTCTGTATTTGAACTGGTTCTTCACTTTACTATACCATCGAATGGCTGTAATACATCGAAGTGAAGGTGTGTGTCATACGTTACCTTATTACCATTGGCAGATGCACAAAGAAAAGGGACTGTATGCATAAAATGTTACCTTTAAACTCCCAGTTGCCTGGGTTTATTTGGTGTCTGTAAGTGAAGGATGCATCAGAACCAGTGTTTAATAGTCATTGATGGACTTTTCTTCCTTTAATTAGGCTAGCTACATTTATGCTTTTGGAATGTGTGCTAGATCCTGTGGCAATGAGTTCAGCAATTTAATTGCTGCTTAGATGAAAAGTACTTCTGCTTTTTTGTTTTAAGTGTGTTGTCTGATACTTAAATGTGATAGCATCCACAGTATTTAATGAGTAATCTATCTTAATTTTCTCTACCTTTAATGATTTCTCTACCTCTGTTAATCTCTCTCCATCCATGTGTGTCTCACTGTCTTCCCCCTCATAGTGTGCTATTGCTGTCTATGTTCAGTCCATACCTCCACTTCTGTTGCTGTATTTATTGTTGGTAGTACTAATTTCTGCATCTGTCTTTACCCTTTGACCTTTCTATCATGTGTCACTTATTTGTTTTCTAAAAATATGGCATTTGGGTTATCTTGTGAAGAATAAGAAGATTTTTCAACAGGAAGACCAGGAAAATGATGGGATATGTTGTTGGGGAAGGTGTTGAGCTCTCCATTACGGAGAATCTTTTGGAGAAGAATACCTATTGAAGATGTGGGTATAGTTGATTGGACTTCCAGGCACAGAGGGACGGACTAGAGGATTTCTTGAAAGCTCTTATTCAGCTGATTCTTTTCCCCTGGGACTTGGAGAGGTGTGCTAGTGGAGAGATTCTGAAGAAGTGTTAATCCATTTCAAAACTCCGTTGAATTTTTCACAATGAAGGGTCTTTTTTAAATTTAGGAACCTGGCATAAGCAGCTTCAAGGAAAAACTGTTCTTTCTGCCTAACCTTGTGTTTTCTAACTGGTGGCTGCCCTTTGGACCCAACATTTTCAAAATCTTCACAATACTACTTTTCTTTCTCCAAGCATTGTTTAGAAGTAAGCAGAGAGTTGGGAAAGCCAGTAGTTAGTACAGCACACCTATTTGCTGTGATTGCTTTTCCAAAGGGCAGTTATTATCTACCAAGATAAATATTTATAGTTCATCTGTACTTGGAAGAGAAATTTTAGTAATGATGCATATATGTCTGCTGTTAAGGTTTGAGAATTGCAGCCCATTTTGCAGCAACATCTAGGTTGCGATCATTTCAGACTACAGGCAGTTCACTGTCCAGTTTACAGAAAGAAAAGTCATGATGTGCCTGGGCCTGTGGAATTCATACTCCTGGATATTCCTGGAATTCATAAACAATGCTTCACATGTGAGATAAAGTTTTAATTAAAATGGGAAACTTCTGTTTCAGCCATCTGCAGTTGGGTGTGGCTCTCTGGGTTGATGAAGTAGTTGTTGTTTTGAGAGCTCCTTAAGGCTCTTCAGCTGTGGCCCTGGAACATGTGTGAGTTGTGACTGTGGAAGTCAAAACACCAAAGCACAGACCAGAGTGTGTTTTGAGCCAGCATGGCCTGAACCGGTCATGACTGCTTCGCCATTAATGTCGTGGTTTAGGACAACACGACAGCAAAGGAACAGCCCCATGGCTGCTCACTCAGTTCCCTCCCCCCTGCCCTGACACAGACACACTCTGGGATGAAGAGGAAAAAGCTGATGGCTTGAGAAAAAGGACAAGGAGGGTTCTTCACTGATTAAGGTCCCCAGAACAGACTCAACTTGGGGAAAAAATAATAACTTAATTTCACACTAATCAAACACACACAGGATACAGACAACACAAAGAGCAGTGCTTGCACATGTTACCCCACCCCTCCCTTCTTTGCTCCATGGGTGCAGGGGGACATCCTGCCATCTTGCCATGGGTTGCAGGGAAACTGCTCGAGCATGTTCTTCCCCTTCTTCCTCACTGATCCACCAGCACCTCTCTCCCTCCCCAGCACAGCTCTTCTCCCTCAAGTGCCTCTCTGCTCAGGTGTTACATCAGTTCTTTCATGTCCCGTCTGATGGCTCCTTGGCTGAGTTTGGGGCAGGGGAAGCTTCTCAGCTTCTTAGCAGAGCCACTCCTGCGGCATGAGGATAGGAAGGCTCTACAGAGAGACCTGGATAGATTAGATCCTTGGGCTAATGTTAATGCTATGGGCTTCAACAAGGCCAAGTGCTGGGTCCTGCACTTGG